TTACTTATAAAACTTATAAGGCTTACAAATATTAGAAAAATAAAAAAACCATTTGGGACTTAAGGCATCACAAGGTGAGGAAACAATGAAGAAGGGAGCTGAAGCAGCCGAGCAGAAAATGCCAGGTTGATGTATAACCAGGAGTATTGTCTTAAAGAAGTTCATAAGGCAGTCAGTTAGAACTTTGGGGGCTCCAGACAGAGACAACCACCAGAGACCCTTGGTGAAGCATCTCAGAGACCTTATAAGGATATGTATATATGCTAATAAGTTTTGGGAAATGTAATAAATATGTAACAGGAATGCTGGGAATGAAAATGAATAATCATGTAATGCTGACATATCAGCTGTTGTGAAGATACCTCTGTGTGCACTTTGGCGAACTGATTCCCAGGGCACTTGGCATGCTGTGATCATCCTGCGCATAGTAATAAAAAGGAATGCCTGCCTGCTAAAACTCATGAATTGAGTCTTAGAGGTTTATTTTAAACACCAATTTTAGGCAACAGAGGGGGAGTGAAAGAGTGGCTCAGTGGGTATCTGAGAGCCAGACAAGGTGTGGCTCTTCTCAGAACTTTCTGACATTCCAAATACTGTAACTGGGAAGCCATAAGTACATTGTCAGCAGGTCGAGGGAGGTGATCCTGCCCCTCTGCTCAGCCCTGGTGAGGCCGCATCTGGAGCACTGTGTCCAGTTCTGGACTCCTTGATTCAAAGAAATCCTTAAACAATATGCAAAACACACTTTTATTACAGCCGGGGATATGCAAAAGGGGCTTTGCCTCCCTGTGCATTCCGTCGAGAAAAGAAATACAACAGCTTTTTATATATTTGGAAGAGGCGAGCTTCAAAATTATCTATCATACGCACTCTTTACGAAGTTTGCCTTATCTAAATAGGCATTTGGTTGCCTACCTCCTATTCTTACTATTATAGAGTAGTTACATAAAGTTTTATCATTTCAAACAGCCTAGGTTTCCCCCCACCCCTCTTCTGTCTCCCTTACAATGCTACGTGCTAAAAGTCTTTCCTGCTTTCTTTTGTTTACGTAAGCCAACTTTATCTTAATTGTCCACAGTTTGGGCAGCAACCTTTTTTCAAGCAGTTTACAATTTGCAAAGTCACACTTACATATCTAAATTTACTTACATAGCTAAATTTTATTTTATTTTGTCTTGTCTTTATTTCATCCTCAGTACAAGAGAGACATGGAGCTCCTGGAGTGAGTCTAGTAGAGGGTGACAAAGATGATTAGGAGACTGGAGCACCTCACTTATGAGGAAAGGCTGAGGGAGTTGTGCCTGTTTAACCTGGAACAGAAAAGACCGAAAGAGGATCTTATCAATGTCTATCAGTATCTGAAGGGAGGGTGTCAAGAGGATGGACCAAGCTCTGCTCAGTGCCAGGCAATAGGACAAGAGGCAACGGGAAGAAACTGATGCACAGGAAGTTCCACCTGAATACAAGGAAGAACTTCTTTCCTGTGCAGTGACTGCACTATGGAGCAGATTGCCCAGAGAGGGTGTGGAGTCTCCCTCACTGGGGATATTCCAGAACCATCTGAATGCAATCCTGTGCAGTGTGCTCTAGGATGACCCTGCTTGAGCAGGGAGATTGGACCAGATGACCCACTGTGGTCCCTTCCAACCTGAACCATTCTGTGATTCTGTGATTCTATGAAATGCTGAATGCACTGAGGGTTCTTTGTGAAGTCAATGGATGCCCCCACAGTGGCTCTAGCTCCACAAAATCTCTTTTCTCTTGCACAGTATGGTCCAAACATGGATGAGGCATGTGGTGCATTCATAACTGATTTTCACCCTAAATTTTTGAGACAGATACATACCTATTACTCTCATTTGCAAAACATGAAACAGAGGCAGAATGCAAAACATTGTGTCCAAATTGTGAAAGCAGGTGTCAGAGCTATGACATTAGCTAACTCTCTCTTAAGTACTTCATCGATGTTGGTCCAGACACCAAAGTCCTACTCATTATCTTTTCTCTTCAGCAAAGAGTCAATTGTTTTCCTCAGAGCTGACTGTCCTCACATTCAGAATAGGCATTTTCAATCAGTCAAAAAAATTAAATTACCACTTTTCAATTTCCACCACAAAGAGGAATACTATTTTAGTAATTACATTCCACATCAGCAATACAAAAGTATACTTAAATCTAATGTAAGCTGGCTTGATGAATCATAGGTAGAAGTCCTATCAAGTATGATACGGAAAAGCAGCATAAACAAACTTCTTAACATCAATTTATAGATGTTAAAAAGGGCATTCTTCTTTATTCAGCATGTTGGACATTCGGAGGATAGCTCCTCTAATTGAACGTGCCAAATGACAGTTAGACAGGGTTTTTTATTATACATACTGTTTACATATTCATTACATATTCCTACTTACTTAATACATATTCATTAGTTTGCTTAACAAAGTCACACCCCTACTGGAAGTCCTTCTTTGGTCCTTCCGGGTCTTCTTCATCGTCTTGACCTCAGTTCTTGAGCAGGCACAGCGTCACAGTGTTTCACCACCAAAAACTGTTACATTTGTTCTTGATTTTATCTTGTTTGGGTACACAGAGCTTAGTTTACATCTTGTTTGAGTTACATCCCTTATTTAATTCTCTAGGACTTCTCTAAGATTATATTGTTCCTTATTTGGATACTGTGAGTAAAGTTTCTATTTCTCCTATCAAGTATAGGAAGAAAAAACACCATTGAAGATCTTTTGCAAATCTGTTCAAATACACTTAAAAACTAGGATATTTGAGATTGCAATTTATTTCTATGTGTCTCTTCCTTTTCAAACTTGGACTCAGAATACTTATCTTAAAGACATAAACAGTCTCCCCGATTATTCCCTCTAATACAATTGGGTTTTTTCCTTTAAAGAATATACAAAAGCAAATTCAGTCAAAATGAGCCAAGAAAGTGTTTATTAAGATAACAAAATATTCAGAACACATCAGAAAGTGTTTACCATATGGAAAAAAAATCACATATACAACAAAAATAAAATGACCACATGCTTAAAATGTCTATTTCTTAAAGCAGCAGCATATTTAATAATGTATTGGTTTCATAATAATGAGTAGTATTCCTCATTTATTTATATTTTTCAATATCAGCTACAAGATGTGAAGAGCTGTACATGGTTAAGTGAAGACATTATGTGTTTGGCAGAGCTCACAAAATAAAGACAAAAATAGCTAGGTTTTGGGGTGGACAGCATCTTGTAACTCTAAGTAGGCATAGTGACATTCATGTCTTGATATACAGAATGTGTTCAGCAGAACTTAATGCAACTTGGCAGAGAACTTCATGGTCAGTTTTGTCAAAATAAGATTTTTCCTTCCTTTATAAAATCAGAGTAAAGAATATCACTTTTTCTTATTCGAATAATCATCTGTCCTCATAGCTTTTTTTACCATTACAAGCACTCTAGCTTCTCTGTCCATACCTCTTGCTGCTGCCTATATGTAGACCCCTGGAAAATTTTCTCTATTTGTTTTGCAGAGTAATGACTGTCTTCTTCCAGCACGTTAATAGCCTGCAAGGCAAAGGGAATCTTCTCCCAGAGAAGTGGGTTATTCATCAGCCTCACAGGTATCACCGAGTTTTATTTGTGCTGTTGGTTAAGAGGACTGACAAGGGAGGTGTAAGAGAGACTCATATAAAGGTTTATTCAGAAATTTTTCCTGTCAATAATATAGTATTCCATACTGAACCATTCACAGCATCGCTTAAGTTTTCTGAGACATGTTTACCGCAAGGCATGTCTGCAAAGATTATTCCAGGTTGTAGTGGGTTTCTGTGGCTGGGTTTTGGTACGGGGGGGCTACAGGGGTGGCTTCTGTGAGAAGCTGCTAGAAGCTTCCCCTGTCTGGTGGAGTCAATGCCAGCCAGCTCCAGGATGGGCTTCCTGCCACTGGCCAAGGCCAAGCCAATTAGGAGTGATAGTAACGCCTCCATGATAACATATTTAAGAACAGAAAGGTATTGAGCAGTGAAAAATTCCAGCCAGGGAAGAGCGGAGTGAGAACATTGGAACAACAAGGTAGACACCAAGGTCGGTGCAGAAGCAGGGGGAGGAGATGCTCCAGGCACCAGAGCTGAGGCACCTGAAGCCTGTGGTGAAGACCATGGTGGAGCAGTCTGTCCCCCTGCTGCCCATGGAGGACCATCGGGGTGCAGAGACCCATCTGCAGCCCATGGAGGAGCCCATGCTGGAGCAGGTGGATGCCTGAAGGAGGCTGTGACCCCATGGGAGGCCGAAGATGGAGCAGGGTCCTGCCGGGGACCTGCAGCCCGTGGAGAGGGAAGCCCATGCTGGAGCACGTTTTTCCTGGGTAGGACTTGTGGTCCCTGTGGGGGACCCATGCCAGTACAGTTCATTCATGAAGGACTGCACCCCATGGAGGAATGACCCACGGGACAGCAGTTTGGGAAGAACTGTTGCCTGTGGGGTGGACTCACGCCAGAGAGGTCCATCAAGGACTGTCTCCCATGGGAGGGACCCCATGGGAGCAGGGGAAGGACTCCTCTCCCTGAGCAGAGGCAGAAACAACAACTGACTGAAACCCCCTTTCCCTGTCTCCCTGCACCACTGGGGTGGTAGAGTTTTGAAGGAAGGAGGAGTGGGAGTAAGGTGTTTTTAAAATTATTTTACTTCTCACTCTTTTCCTCTGATCCTGTTAGTAATAAATTCAATTAATATCCCCACTTTGAGTCTGTTTTGCCCGTGATGGTGATCAGCAACTGACCTCTCCCAGCTCTTATCTCTACTCATGAATCCTTCTCTGTTTTTTTTTCTCCTCTGTCCAGTTGCAGAGGGGAATGAGAGAGCGGCTTTAGTGGCATCTAGCCAGGATCAACCCACTACACAGGTTTAATAGAAAATTTATTCTGCAGTAGATTCTGGATCCAGATAGCTTATCTACATCATTGTCTGTGTGCAGAACCACAAACCTACAGAAAACATCCTCAGTATTCTCATTACTGCTGCAGATTCCCAGAGCTGTGCTAGCAGGCTCCCTGATTTCAGCAGAGAGGCTGTACAATTCATTAATTTGTTTGGAGTCTCTCTGACCTGTACTCATGTTGTTAGTTTTTTTACTGCTATCTAGTGCAGGAGCTCAACTCTGAGATTAGCTTAGTTGGTTAGAGCATGGTGCTAAAAACACCAAGATTGTGGATTTGATCCCCGCATGGGCCATTTACTGAAGAGTTGCACTTGATGATCCTTGTGGGTCCCTTCCAACTCAGAATATTCTGAGAAGTTTGTTTGGAGTTATTACTGCCCATTACAACAAACATATGATCAAAAATGATTTGCTGATGTGGTTATTTTTGAAATAACACAAACTAATTTGACTGAGGGATGTTATTATTCATGCCAATGAAAGAAGGCAGAAATGCTGAGAGAAAAGCTGATAGTTCCTTTTATAGAAGCTAATAATTAAGATATTGCATTAAAAAAAACCTGCCAAAACCCAAACACATGATTTTTAGCGTTATGCACAAAGAGCATGCAAGTACAACTCGTTCATGAGTGCATAGAGTACTATGTATACCTCCAAACCAGAAAGATGACACTAAATTGCATCAATGTCAGGAAAAAAGCAAAAATCAATATATAATATAGTGTGGTATTTTAAATGGACATGTCAAAAACATACCAAATCCTGCAAAATGTAGAATAAAAATATGACTAAACAAATACAAAGCCATGGATAAACATATACTTTATCAAAGTTCAAAATGCATTCCACAAATGAGTTGAAGAAACATGTAGACATATGGCAGAAGTGGGATCAGACCTAATGGAATGAAAAGAGTTTAGTTGGTTTAAATGGTAACTGGAGTAAGCCTACATGCTGCAAAGTAATATTATGCACGAGGTCTGTGAGAAGAGAGCATTGATTGCGGAACTCTAAAAACTTACCTCTAATCAAGATATTTAATTAATTTGCATGTAAAACAATTGAGAGAGGTGTAATGCCATATGAGTACAGTGAGAAAAAGAAAATCAGGGAAAAGTTAAGTGTAGCGTGCTGGTCTTTATATGATAAAGATAAGCAGTCCGCTCTCCGATAAGGTGGAATCAAAGAGGCTTTATTTAAATTTCGCACTCCCTTTTATCCCCTAAAACCATGTGACCTGGTGACCAATGGGGTCGTCTGTCCCAGTGCATGTCCCTTCAGGCTCCCTGCCCCCCGGTGCATCCCTCTGCACTCTTGGGACATGCCTGCACCCCTGGGACACGCCTCCTTCAATTTAGGGTAGTGTATTGGGTCTGGCTGAGATGGAGTTCATTTCCCCATAGCAGCCCTCACAGTGCTGCCCAAAGGGATATTCCAGACCATATGATGTCAGCTCAGATATAAATGTTAAGGAAAGGAGGAGGAAGGGGGGGCATTCATTATTTACAGTTTGACTTCCAGAGCAACTGCTCCATGTGCTGAAGCCCTGCTTCCCGGGAAGTGGCCAGACATTGCTTGCTGATGGGAAGTAGAGAATAAACCTTTTTTTCTCTTTGCTTGTGTGTGCGCAAACTTTTGCTTTAGTAAACTGCCTTATCTCAACCTACAAGTGATTTTCCATCTTATTTTCTCTTCCCTGTCCAGCTGAGAAGGGGGAGTGATAGAGCGGCTTGGTTGGTACCTGGTGTCCAGCCAAGGTCAACCCACCACAGGTAGCAAACTTCCATAAAAAATTTTGTTCACTGCAAACTTGGGATTCTTTCATTGTTTTAACAAACAGAAACTAATTTTAACAAAGCAGGATGTGGTTTGCTGGTAGACATTATGAGACTGATAAAATTGGAAAAATTAGACAAGTTTTTGGGTGCACAAACTTGGAAATCAGGTTTGATTGCCTGAAAGTTTGGTCATTTCTTCTTTACATACCAGATATTTAGTAAAATATATTACTTCTTCTGGCAACCCACATTCCATCTTTGTCCTTTAAACCATCATGGTTATGACAAAATACCATTCTGACAAAGGTACAAAGCAATAAAATAATTTAATGATAATGCAACAGCTCATTTTATTAATCAGATTAACCATTACCCTGTTAGATGTTTGCTTTGGAACATAGCATCAAGAAAATTATGAGTTCACCAAGAACAAAACTGACTCCAACCCTGTCAACTGACATTTATAAACCAAAATTCAAAAGGCTATTTTCTATATCATTTCAGTGCTCCCAGTTCATTAACATACTCAAGAAACGTAAAACACTATTTTGTTCCTTGGTAATTTGCTTCCTTTCCACACCATACCCAGGGCCTGTTAAACGTGTTTAGTGCTAATTTGATACATTTCTTCTTAAGAGGAATGCATATAGGCTGTACAGATACAGTACACTAAAAGAACCACAGTATCTGACATCATCTATGACATATATAAAAGATAGATGAACTGTTCTTGTTCATCTGAAAGCCTGTGGGTGTGTGTAGACATGCATACATAGACTAATACATTTGTACAGTGGCAGGAATCTCTTTTTTTCTTGGCAATACTGAAACAGATTTCACTTTTGTTGAACAGCATGACCTTGCAACATGCAGTACTCTAATTATATGCCTTCCTATTAATACTATAGTTAACAGAACTAATGTATAGCTACCGAGATTTGTTCTGTTCCCATGAGCAGTAGTTCCCCTTCCAAATAATTCTGTTCACATTTACTTCAAGTTTACTCCATTTTATTTGCAGTCACATCTGAAACATGGACAATTCATCCAATGATCAGTCAGTCCCTGAAACGACTGGCCCAGGAATGTAAACTTCAAATTTGGCAATTCTGGTTTGTTTTAGAAGGACTGCTCCTATCATTACAGATATAATGTTGATGGACTAATTCTTATATGGTTAAAAATGGATCAGAAGTTAAGACTAATCTGTCTTACTTGCTGGGACCAAGGAGATATACAGAAGCAATGCAACCCATATGTGTCATATATGAGATGATGCCAGGAGGTTTTTGAAGTTTAAGAAATGATGCCAGCATAGGCTCTGAGCATTAGACAGGAAGATTGAACATAGGCTTATACTCAAAGAGTAGGAATAAAAATTGGTAAATCCATGTTATTATCCCTTGGGGAGACAATGATTTTGTCCAAGATCCAAAATGAAGTTTTATATTATTATAATCTGCTCTTTGGGAGATATATTTTTGCATGCACAACACAATAATGAACCTAGGCCATATCTTATCAGGAGTTAACAGTGACAACCTGAGCTGGGACTAGACAAAACTACAACTGCTGTTCTCCTGCACATACACTAAAGGGGATTTGACTATGAGTCAATCACTTGACACTATAAATATCTGTAGCCCCCTTGAGCTCTCCTGTACGGCAGCAGGCTGCATGGCGATGATCTCCCCCTTAAACAAGGATGCCTCTCAAGGTTACTCCTTGGGTTTGAGAGACCTCTTACGAGGCATTTATTATCTAGAACAAGATAAGCAACATTTTACATTAAGCCTAAAAGTATATTGTATGCTACTGATGTCTATATATCCAGCTATAACTTAATTATTAGAAGTGTAGTAAGTAAGTAGAGTGTTTGGCCACCATCTAATTATCGGTCAAATAATCATTTAAATCACTGTTTAATTATCATTCAATTATTGCTTAATCACCACTTGATTACAATTTTATTTTCATTCAATAATTGATTAATTATGATTTGATCATCATTTAATCATTGATAAAACCCTTTTAGTCAACCCCACAATGATGACTTCTCTTAATAATTTACCTGCAACACTCAGAAGCATTATTCTTCCAAAAAGTGAATCAGATTACATTCATATACTATATGAATGTGAATATATATTATACCCAGGGAACTACAGGCCAGTCAGTCTCACCTCAGTGCCTGGCAAGGTCATGGAGCAGATCCTCCTGGAAACTATGCTAAGGCACATGGAAAATAAGGGTGGGTAACAGCCAATGTGGCTTCACTACAGGCAAGTTGCACCTGAAAAATTTGGTGGTCTTCTATGGCAGGGTTACAGTAGTGGTGGATGAGGGAAGAGCAACTGATGTAATCTACCAAGACTTGTGCAAAGCATTTGACACTGTCCTGCACAGCATCCTTGTCTCTAAACTGGAGAGACATGGATAAGATGGATGGACCACTCGCTGGATAAAAAATTGGCTGGATGGTTGCACTGCAAGTGGAAAGCAGTGACTAGTGGCGTATTGGGACCAGCACTTTTTAACATCTTTGTTGGTGACATGGACAGTGGAATTGAGTGTACCCTCAGGAAGTTTGCCGATGACACCAGGCTGTGTGGTGCCATCAACATGCTGGAGGGAAGGGATGGCATCCAGAGGGACCTGGACAGGCTTGAGAGGTGGGCTTGTGGAAACCTCATGAAGTTCAAGAAGGCCAAGTGCAAGGTCCTTGTCTCAGTCTGAAGAGACTGGAATGTCTGCTAAAGAGGATGAGTTATGAGATAGACCAAACTTCTCTCTCAGCAATTGTAAATTCGAAATTAAGGGGCTTTAATAGAGGAAATGTGGAAAAAACCAGAAGAAATAACAACCCTTTATTAAAAGATCTATATATGTTGGCAAAAACAGTAACAGAACACAAAAAAACCTAGACAGTAGTCCTAGGAAAAAAAAACCAAAAAACCAAAAAAAAGTCTGAATGAATACTTCTCTGTCCTTTAGTGCAGTCCTAATTGTGGCCTGCAGGGGGAGCTGTTGGGTCGCTGGAGGTGCAGAACCTGCAGTTCTCTGTGTTGGCCTGGAGGGGGCACTGTTGGATCACTGGAGGTGTAGGGCCTGCGGTTCTCTGTGGTGACCTGCAGGGGGCGCTGTTGGGCTCTGGCGGTCACCACGTGAGGAGGGGGTCTGGGGGGTGGTCTCGGATCGCGGGAGAAGCCGAAAGGAAAAAATGGAGACCCCTCCCCCAATGGGAGAAGGGCAGAGGGAAAAAAAAAACAGTTCACCCCTACGGGACTCACTGTGGTTCCCAGATGACAGTGTTCCAAGGCTCTTCCCTTCTCTCCCAGCAAGCACAAACCTCTCTGATGAAAACCCAGTAGGTCCCGGTTGGAGTCACAAGGCAGTGTGTGAGCTGACCGAGTCTGGTGGTCTGGCCTCACCAGGACGAAAAGACAGAAAAGACAGACTTCCAGACCTTCTCTCCAAATGCCCGCATGCAGATCCCCGTCTCCATCCCAGAGAGCGAACTTCGAACTTCGCCGTCCGCTCCTCTCCCCTCTCCGAGCAGAGTAAGCCCACCCCCTCCCAAAACTCCTCCACTCTCCCCCCAGCCTCTGAATGGGCCATCAGCGAGGAATGCGGCCTGGCTAGCTAGTGCCTTTGTAAGGCTAATTAACTCCCTTCCCCCTTTCCATTCAAAACTCCATCTTTCCTACAGTGGGGGGGCAGGGGGAAGAAAAATTCTTCTTAAATTTCTAACCTATAACAGTCCTGCACCTGGGTTGGGGCAATCCCAAGCACAAGTACAGGCTGAGTGGAGAATGGATCAAGACTAGCCCTGGGGAGAAAGACATGGGGGTGTTTATGGACGAGAAGCTCAACATGTCTTGGCAATGTGTGCTTGCAGCCCAGGAAGCCAACGACATCCTGGGCTGCATCAAAAGCAGCACAGCCAGCAGGTCAAGGGAGGTGATTCTCCCTCTCTACTCTGGTCTCGTGAGACCCCACCTGGAGTACTGCATCCAGCTCTGGGGCCCCCAACACAAGAAAGACGTGGACCTGTTGGAACAAGTCCAGAGGAGGGCCACCAAGATGATCGCAGGGCTGGAACACCTCTCCTATGAAGACAGGCTGAGAGAGCTGGGACTGTTCAGCCTGGAGAAGAGAAGGCTCCGGGGAGACCTTATAGCACCTTCTAGCGCCTAAAGTGGGCCTACAAGTAGGCTGGAGAGGGACTTTTTACAAGGACATGCAGTGATGAGACAAGGGGGAATGACTTTAAACTGAAGGAGGGCAGGTTTAGATTAGATATTGGGAAGAAATTCTCTACTGTGAGGGTGATGAGGTACTGGAACAGGTTGCCCAGAGAGGTTGTGGATGCCCCATCCCAGGAAGTGTTCAAGGCCAGGCTGGAAGGGGCTCTGGATAACCTGGTCTAGTAGAAGGTTCCCTGCCCTAGCAGGGGGGTTGGAGCTAGATGATTTTTAAGGTCCCTTCCAACCCAAACCATTCTATGATTAATTTGTATTTCCCCATACAATATTCACAGGGTCTTTTTGTCTCATTCAAACTTCCCCCCCTCCCTTTAAACTAAAACAACAACTAACATTTCAGGACATGAAAAGAAATTATGCAAACATAAACCACAAAAGAAATAGTTGAAACCTTTCACAACTTCAAACACAGTTGTACCTCATTTAACACAGGGCAATTTAGTTGCATCCACTAACTGAACTATTCTTTTCATATATGCAGCTTTAGCAAAAAAAATAATAAAAAAAAGAAAAAAAGATAAATGCTTTGTGATTTTTTCACCGTATTGAAGTGGTAGTATGCGTTTTATTATATCCTATCCAATCACTTGTTTTAAAAAATATACACAATTTTCAAATGTGTAGCATATTTTTCATAACCCCAGATTAAAGGCCTTTTTAAGCTATTGCTGAAGATGATACAGCATTATACCAGAGGTTTAGTTCACATGCCTAATTTCAATGCAAAATTCAAGTCCGCTAAACCTCAGCAGGAATAATATTGAGCTAAACAACCCCATTCAACAAATTCAAGTGTTTAAAAAAAAATTAGAGACATGTATGTGACAGTCAGATAATACTTTGTTTACCCCATTGTTTACTAATTTTGACAGTACACAGAGCTGACTTAGTGGAAAATCACTTCCGTTTTTGAAACAAATGGGTTTTTTGTGGTTAAAGCTACTCAACAAGTGATATTCAGGCATCAGAAGATTATAGTGGATACTACAAAAATTATATCATGTTTTTATCTGACTCTAGCACCTAAATTGCTAGTGTCAGATAAATTACCCTTCATTACCATTTGTGTAATGAAATGAAAAAAAAACCCTGAAGATCAGTTGCTGAAACATAAGGATAAAGCATATAGGTACAATCAAGAACACTGTGTGCAGGCATAAAAAGAGAGCATTAGTTTTTGTTTTTTGATCTTTGAGATTCTGTTACAATTTCAGGGAAGCTTGTACCTCAAAAATGGAACTGCAATACTGCAAGTTCAATACAAGATAATAAGACATTATACATTATTCTGAATATAATATTAAGCTTTTTATTACCCCTGTGACCTTTTAACTAATTTTTGAAGTCTTTAAGTTGTTTTTTTCAATTCTGAAAGGGTAGTTTATCAGTTTACAATAGAGATAAGTGTCGACGGAAAGGAATGCACTCCGATAGCAGGGAAAGGCACATGGCTGCTTTATTGCTCTCAAATGTTTCTTTTTATACTTTTTGTATACTATCGTGCTACAACATAATTGGTCAAAAGTCTCCAGCATGAGACACCCCACATACCCTCATTGGAGACACAGAAGACACTGCTCTCACTGTCACTGGTGACCTGAGGACACTGTGCACACTGTCATTGGCGACACCACACACACACACCTTGATTGGTGACCCCCAGTCTCGGCTGCACCACGCTTGCTCTGTCCGGCATTGCAGCAAACACTTCCTTAAAGTTGTTTACATTCTTCTGCAACTTCAGAGCAGCAACTGCTCGAATTCAAGGCCTACCATCCAGTCGTTTCCCACAGATAAGGAGTATTTTTTTTTAACTACCACACCATTTTAAAATCATCTTAGGTCATCTTAGATCGATTATTCAGTGTCCAAGTGCATGTGTAAATCCTGTCAATTTTTTCATGGAAAATAATATAGGCAATTAATGAGAATTTAGCATTCTTTCTCTGCTTGCTGAAAACTAGTTTAAGTGGAGTATTTTTTAATTAGAATTAGTAACTCAATTTTTTTATCTTAGTTTTGTTTGTGTGCACTTAAAAATGGGTCCAAGTTCATTTATTCCTCCAGAACCATCTGAACAAGTTTATCCTTATTTTGACCAGCTCAATTAAAGCTATTTTTATGTAAATACATTTACTATCTTCCACATCCAAATAAAACAAGATTTTATTACAATACCTGAACTAAAGACATGAGCAGTGGAAGCAATGCAGCTACAAATCTACCAAAAAGATACCACAAAACATTTAAAACATTTTTGACCACTAACAGAAAAGAGTAGCAATTACATGCACAAGGTCATAATGTATCAGTGCACCAAACAGGGAAATAAAGTACACAGCACTCACACAATGCCGTATTAGTATTAAATTGGCTTCTTAATAGGAAAACAATTTAATTAAAAGCTTTGCATGTGCCTAATGGATGCAATATAACTGGTGCTGGTGCTGTAGTGCTTGATAAAAAACAATCTCTGGTCTTAAATGTGACAAGCAGCAGCACAAGTACAGAGATTGCATAGCTTCAGTAACAAAGTTAAAATATTCCCCATTTAATTGCGTTTTTAAAAACAACTTGGAGATTTAAAATTTTTGAATAGAGAAAGCACATTCCTTAAATAGTGTCAGTTTAGAAGTTGTTTAGTAAAACATTGTAAAAAAGGAAATGCATTATATTTTAATGTAGAAAATAGTATGTTTAAGCAAATACACTCAATTATAAAATTTAGCAGGTTTTGAAGGTAGAGATTTACCAGGCAGGTGGAGAATTTGCACCATTACGTAGTATCAAGCTTGCAACAGTTTTACAGATAAGCAAAGGATATAATTGGATTTTTTTTTGGTTACAGCAAATCAAAACAGTGCAATACATCTCACAACTACAGTTCCTCACATTAGCTTGTTTATAATACAATACATTCAGCCCAAAAATGAAAGTCAAATCAAATTTTCATGAGTATTGTCTTTCACATCAGAGTCTAGATTGGCGGATTCTTTTAAAGTGTTATAGCACAGATGGGTAATCATATCAGTAAAGTCAAACCCAATTTGGATTAAAATCAGCAAAACCAAAGAGAGGCTGGTCATTGCCAGATATTTAATACAAGTATCATAAAACATTAAGTTTACTCTATATTTCAAATTGGGTGTCCCTTTCATAACTTTTGGGGTATGTTTTGCAATTTTAATCAATGAGGAGGGGTAGACATTTAGATGTTTCATATATATAGTTCCTTGTACTTACAATTAATTGGAGACTGGTAATTTCACAAGTGAATAGCACAATGACCTGAAGCATTATCATTACCAGTTATGCAACATGGGTTGTTGTGGTTCTTTTATCAGAGAAGAAGCTTTTGAGGAGAAACACCTGCCCAATACTAACTACAAGAAGAATGATTGCCTCCCCTATTGACCAATGGGCTAATCTTGTGTTTAAATCCTCTGCTCTGCTGTGGCCTTGTGCTTCTCTCAACCGGAAATGAGTCTGATAATCAATGACAGACTTCAGAGCTTCATGAATTGAAACACACGCAGACTCCATCTAGAGAAGCAAATAAATACACATGCTCAGTTAAGAATCCTTCTAATGCTTGTTCTGTGATTTGATATTTAAAATTAGGATTCACATAGCTTTACAAATGAAAGATTAACTCAACCCACTGTCAGACTGAAATGCTATAAATCTAACATATCAATCAAGTTTTACACACAGGAATGTGACTGACTTAAGAACCAAAGTGTGCAAAACTGCAGATGTAATACAAAGTAATGCACTCTAAGAGCCAGAAACTGAATATTAAAATTCATGCATGTTTGGGTTCAAAAGTAAATATAAACACTGTATTGAAATATGTCAGTGATACAACATTTGCTAATTCCACATACACCAGTAAAACAAGCAGTAAATCTTTCTCCAGACCTGGATAGCTAGTAAGTTTCTTATATCATTAAGATTTGCATAGTAGATATTAAAACACTTTTAGATTTCACAAGTTTGTGATTCTTCATCACATAATACCCAAACTTCAGTTTCACAAAAGCCTGAAATCTAGGTTGCTGACTTCAATATGTTCTTTTGGCAGGAGACCCTTCTATTAGTCACATATGTAAAAAGTTATTAGATAAAAGAGAACTCTTATCTTTCAATGTTCCTGGATGCTCCCTACCATATTTATATAATAAACACTCAAGACCAAATTGCCCAACTAAATGTGTCATCTTTCATAAAAATCACATTCCCTTTTCTAACCTGAAAAATCTTAAACCTTTTCGATATATGTACTACAGGCTTTCCAATACCTAGATGCACATAAAGCTCTTCCATTTTTGGTTTACCTTCTGAAAGTAAGAGTCAGTACCCATGATTGTCTTTTGACCATCAAGAAATTAATGAATATCTTCAAAATATTTAAGTTTTAGAACAACTAACCAACTGGCTATCCCTCTAAAAATAATTATTTCCTGAAGATCAAAAGCATAATCTATTATAAAGTGTTTGACACCCTAATAAAAACCCACTGTCAGTTATATCTGTGTCAAATCAACTTTTCAAGTTCATGACTTTCAGGACAGGTGTCTAAAAAAGTCCAAGATAGTCTTCTAAACAAAATTCAGGAAGAGATTTAATGCATTAAGTTCTGCCATTTGTTTCACTGCTAAATTATAGAGCCCTCCCCTACTCTGCAGCAGGGATCTTAAATTTAAATAAAGTCTAGTTTTGGGGGTTTACCTTTTACAGTCCCTGTGAAAGTCTGCCCAAATCTGGTCATACTACAAGCCTCAAGAAAATTGCAATGGAGAACCTACTTACCAAAGATGTGTTTTGCTTTGAAAGTTAACTTCCCCTTTCCCAAAGATCTGATTTGCACTATGTATGCTATAACCCAGTGATAAACTTTTTCTTATAACTTCTCCCATAACCTGCAAAGATGTTGGATCTAGAATCTGCATGTTTTGTGTTCTCAATACCCTCTACTGGTGCCAAAGCACCAAGCAACAATCCCATCCCCCCACATTAATACACAAAACCCCCCAAACATATAACAGAATGCACAGAATGGAGACTAAAGAAAGTGCAGGGAGAAAGGGAGCTATACAATCAACAATCAAAAGACAATATAAAGCAGAAGAGAAAGGTGATCAGAAGGAGATAAAAATTCTAACTGAATTCACAGCAAGTCACCTACTCATTACAAGTCTTTAGCCACTGCAGACTTACATGGAGTAAATTCAAGTGAGCAAAATGGATATTTGGCAAGTGGCATTTCTACCATTGAGTTCAAACTAGTAGAATAGTGGTCACATCCAGCATATTAAAATGGTTGTTTAAAGTAAAGTTTGGTAACAATTATAGTGTAAGAATGTTAGAATTCATGAAGTTACTGTTCCAAGTGAAGTTGGCTGATTTAGTTTGGGCAGAAGTGGTGTAAAACTAAAATTATGAAGAAAGAAAGAAACATTAGGAAAATAAGTCTGGAGCAAGAATACTGCTTTGCCACTTAAGTGTCTTATAAATGACATATCTAGAAGCCAGTTAAGTATGACTGATTTTGTTCATCTGTGTATTTTGCTAGAATTCTCTTCCAATTTTAAAAGTGACAGTTACATAAGAGATCAACCATTCAAGTCTTTCCCTCAAAAAAGACTCTATTTTAATATAAAAACAAATTGTTCTCAAAGTTTCTCCAAAGTTCAGGAAATTTGAAAACCCTGATCCACTGATATTTTACACTTTGTAAAATCCACATTTCCACATAGAACCATGGCATAAAAAATTCCCCTAAACTCTAGGCTGCTGTATATTTTCCCTAATTTCCACTTAAAAACTTGGTAATTCCTCCTCAACTCTGCATTCTTTAAGTCCTAATTTTCAAAAAAGGTTCACTTTTAGTAACAGGGTTTATTTTAAAGATGCTCCAGTCCATTCATTTTCAACAGCGATATAGATGTCTAATGCAGTTGAATTTGAAAAACATTCCCTCCGCCTAACAGTTGCTGTCAAACACAACAATATTTTACCTAAGTGCAGTTGCTCTGTTCTCACTAGGGAACAGTGGTGGATCTTCTCCAACCTGGAAATCAAAGTACACAGTTTTGTGTGTGAAAGTAGAGAACTCATTGCTAAAGCAGAATTTGTATGTTCCATTTCTGGATGCAGTAAATGTGAAGTTATCATATTGTTTCTTCATCTCTTTGTATAATACAGCACCATCAGGACCTTCCAACTGACAGTCAACATCATAATGACCTCCAGTGATCACCTGAAAAAAACCCCAAGAAATCGTCTTAAACAGAACAGACATCCAACTAGCGCACCCCGAGCTAGCGTTACAAATTGTTTGATCTGACAAATGTTTTAAAATAAAATGCATTAATTTAAGAATCTTTCAATGCAAGTTTGAAAAAAAAATCCTCATCCTATGAAGGACTCACAGAACAATTCAAAATAAGATCTTTCAAATTGAGGATATGTAATGTCAACTACGTTTTCTAACAGTTTACGAAGGAAGCTTTAGTTACTTCATTTTAAGATACTGGTACTATAGCAAAGGCTAGAGCAGATGAAATTTGATGGGGCAAAGACACAACTGTAATAAATCAGTAATTTACTATTAATTAATGTTAATTCTATGATGTTAATTGCTATATAACACTGTATATTATTACTTCTATGGTGGCTATATGCCCATCATTGCACTGGGTGCCTTACAGCATCTATCTGCACCACTCCAGATTTGGGGATCTGAACCCTACTCCCTTTTGATTACCACATTAATGAAGAATCAACTTTGATTAAACCAGAGAAGTGCAGCAGTGATGGAATCAGAACTGACTTCAATGTATATCAGTCCAACACCACACACCATCTTTCCTGCCCTGAAAAACTGTTATGACAGATGGAGCCCAAGGTCATGGACTAAATTAACTCAACGGACTTTTATAGGGATGGTCCATAGACTAGGGAAATTATATCTGTGAGTATATATATATCAAAAGACAGGAAAGGTGATGGGGTTTTGGAAAGTGTGGGACCTGGCATGACATAAATGGTATGAAAGAAGGGGTGGATATTATCCTGGGTTTGTCTGGGATAGAGTTAATTGTCTTCCCAGTAGCTGATACAGTTCTGTGTTTTGGATTCAATATGCGAATAATGTTGATGTTTTAGACGTTGCTCAGCAGTGCTTACCCTGAGTCAAGGGCTTTTCAGTTTCCCATGCTCTGCCAGCAAGCAGATGCACAAGAAACTGGGAGAGAGCATAGCTGAGACAACTGACCAGAACAGGCCAAAGGGATATTCCATACCATAGAATGTCATGCTCAGTATATACTGGGGGGAGTTGGCCAGGAGCCATCGATTACTGCCTGGGGACTGTTTGGGCATTGATCAACAAGTGGTGAGCAATTATATTGTGCATCACTTGTTTCTCTTGGGTTTCACCCCCACCACCGCTCTCTCTCTCCCCCCCCCTTTTTTTTAATTATGTCGTGGGTTTACTCTGGCCGGATTTCAAACCCCCACAAAATTGCTAAAAGTTGGGAGGGGTTCACACAGGCAAGACAGACTCGACATGAGGATAATATCAAAATTTATTGCTAACAGGATAGAAACTAAAAAGTAATAAAATATACAGTATTAAACACATGTTTTATCCACCACTCAGCCCCCTGCATCAATGCAGGAGGAGAACTCTCAGGGCAATAGCTAAAGTCTCTCTTCATTGGGGTGCAAGGGGTCTCTGCACCCCCTCATGGTCCTTCATGGGCTGCAAGGGGACAACTTGCTTCACCATGATCTTCACCACAGATTACAGAGGAGTTAAAGCTCTGAGTCTTTCCCCTGTATGTGGGGTCCCTCCCAGGGGAGTAAGTTCTCCGGGGACCCCTCCAAGTCGGGTCCACACCTCCCCCGGGTCGCAGGTTCTGGGGTTCGGCTCAGTCTCTATACCCCGATAGTTTTCATTAAAGTCCTACCCAGAATAAAATGCTTCAGCTTGGCTTCTCTCTCTCTCTCTCTCTGAGTTGCAAATTTGAGCGGCAGCGGTAGCCGTGCTGGCTGTGCTCCTCCTCTCCGCTCTGCTCCGCTCCACTCCCGGGAGCAGGCGCACTTCGGCCCGCCCAGCTCGCTGCGGCTCCCTCTGCCCCGGCGTCCTGGGCTGGGTTGGGTGCAGCAGGAAGTCCGGGCTCGCTGCTCACTGTCGGCCTGCCACTGCCTCGCTCTGAGCTGCTGCGGGAGGCTGACCTGCTCAGTCAGAGGCTCGGCCAGCCTGCCGCTGCCCCTTCCCCGCCATGGCGGGGGAGGTGGTGAGGTCGACTGAAAAGCCCCTAGGCATCTCTTCTCTCGCTCTCTGGAATTCCTTCTGCGCTCTGCTGCATGCCTCGGCCAGGGCCCCGGTCCTGACCTCAGTCGCCCCCTCACCTGCGGCTGCTGCTGCCTACTCCAGGCTAGCAGCTGCCGCGGACCCAGGGTCATGGTCGCCGCCCCAGCCCACGCCGGCCTGACTCCAGTGCCATGTCTGCCCCCAGGCCAGGGCCGCGGTGCCCGGCCCCCCAGGCCCAGCAGCTCCCTCTGCTACTCTCCTGGCTCCAATTTCTTCTGTGCCACAAGCTTCTCTTCCGTTTTCTTAAATATGTCGTTCGCAGAGGCGTTACCAAAACTTTCAATTGGCTCTGCATCACCTGGAACTAACCATCTTCAGTTCCGGGGGGGAAAAGCTAGTAAACTGTATCAGGGACTGTTTCAGGGGTTAATTACACTGATACTTTTGGTCTGTGTTTGGCCCAGCCAGCTGTAAAAGTTTTGTTCTTTCCCTGCCAAGTTATGAGAAAACAAGCACTGATAAAATGGGAAATTTGTCCTTGAAGAGAGTTCTTGTATAAACTATATTTAATTGGTATTCTGTAATTGGCTAATCGTTCTCCAAGGTCGCTTGAAGGAGAGATTGAGGAGGAGGAGGATGAAGTAAACCCACTGACTCAATTAAGAAAGACCCCCGCAGGTGCAGTACGCAAGCGCAGGGAAAGTGACGCGTGCGCAGAAGAGATATTACTTGCATAACAGGGAGGTGGGACTCAGGGCCTCTGGCTGGGCGGTGCTGGCAACACCGGCCTAGGTTGAGGTCACTCAGTTAATTGTATAAAAGGAGATAGTTCTTTCTTGGAGGGGAGCTAGCTTCACATCAAGGACAACGTTACCTTTTGGCGGGGACGCCTGCCAGTTTGTGAACTTACTGACTTTCCAAGGATGCAGCTTCTGCTATGGATAATTATAGGCATGCTAGGTCGGTAAGATAACTTTATGGGCAACAACTGGGTGACTGGGGAGATCGTGCTGGGGGCTTATTTCTCTCTTCCTTCCTCCTTTTTTGGGTTCGTTCGTTTTGTTGACCACCTCTTGGTAATAATATCAGTTTTGTTGAGCTTCCAGTGGTGTCATGGTTTCAAGATTTCAGTATGCTCAAATCCTCCCTAATACAGGGACGTTGATACTTTTGGTCTGTGTTTGGTCCAGCCACCTGTGAGAGTGTATCCTTTCCCTGCCAAGTTATGAGAAAACAAACAGTGATAAAATCAGAACTTTGTCCTTGAAGGGAGAATCTTGTATAAATATATTTAATTGGTGTTCTATGATTAGCTAATCGCCTTTCAAGGTTACTTGAAGGAGAGATTGAGGAGGATGAGGATGAAGTAAACCCACCGACCCAATTAAGAAAGACCCCCCCAGGTGCAGTATGCAGGCGCAGGGAAAGCCACGCATGCGCAGAAGAGATATTACTTGCATAACGGGGGGTGGGACTGAGGGCCTCTATCTGGGCGGTGCTGGCCACACTTACCCAGGTAGACGTCAACAATTAATTGTATAAAAGCAGATAGCTCTTCTTTGGAGGGGAGCAAGCTTCACATCAAGGACAACGTTACCTTTCACGGGTACGCCTGCCAATTTGTGAGCCTACTGACTCTCTGGGAATGCAGCTTCTGCTATGGGTAATTCTAGGCATTCTGGGTCAGTAAGATAACTTTATAAGAAACAACTGGGTAATTGGGGGAGACGTACCGAGGGCTTATTTTCATCCTCCTTCCTCTCTTTTGGGTTTGTTCGTTTTGTTGGCCACCTCTTGGTTATAAATATCTGTTTTGTTGAGCTTTCAACGGTGTTATGGTTTCAGTTTCAGTATCTCCCGAACTCTCCCTATTACATAAATCCATGACAAATTATTATTATATTTTACTTTGTTTCAATTATTAAACTTTTCTTATCTCACCCCATGAATTTTTCCTTTTTTTTCCAATTCTTCTCCCCATCCCACGAGGGGTGGGGAGGATTAGTGAGCCACTTCTGTAAAGGATAATAAAAAGTGTTTTTATAAATACATTAATAGCAAAAGGAGGGGCAAGGAAAACCTCCATTCTTTATTGGACATGAGGGGGGGGATATAGTTACCAAAGATGAGGAAAAGGCTGAGATACTTAACACCTTCTTTGTCTCAGTTTTAAACAGTAAGACAGGTCATCCTCAGGACAACTGGCCTCCTGAGCTAGTAGACAGGGACAGGGAGCAGAATAACCCCCCTGTAATGCAGGAGGAAGCAGTTAGTGACCTGCTGAGCCACTTGGATCCTCACAAGTCGATGGGACCAGATGGAATCCATCCTAGGGTGATGAGGGAGCTGGCGGAAGAACTTGCCAAGCCACTCTCCATCATTTATCATCAGTCCTGGCTAACCGGAGAGGTCCCAGATAATTGGAAGTTGGCCGGTATGATGCCCATCCATAACAGGGGCCGGAGGGAGGATCCAGGAAACTACAGGCCTATCAGCGTGTATTGGGTCTAGCTGAGCTGGAGTTCATTTCCTCATAGCAACCCTCACAGTGCTGTGCTTTGCATTGGTAGCTAGAAGGGTGTTGATAACATATCAGTGTTTTGGCTACTGCTGAGCACAGCATCAGCACTGTAACATTCCTTCCCCAATCAAGGGCAAGATCCTGGGAGGGGACACAACCAGGCCAGCTGACCCAAACTAACCAAAGGGATATTCCAGACCATATGACGTCAGCTCAGATATAAAAGCTAAGGAAAGGAGGAGGAAGGGGGGCCATTCATTGTTTACAATGGTTGCCTGCTGAGAAACTGTTATGCGTGCTAAAAGCCTTGCTTCCCAGGATGTGGCCAGACATTGCTTGCTAATGGGAACTAGAGAATAAACCTTGTTATTTTCCGCTTTGCTTGTGCTTTCATTTCTGCTTTAGTAAATTGCCTTATCTCAACCTACGAGTCTGTATCAGGGGTTAATTATGCTGATACTTTTGGTCTGTGTTTGGCCCAGCCACCTGTGAAAGTTTTGTTCTTTCCCTGCCAAGTTATGAGAAAACAAGTACTGATAAAATGGGAAATTTGTCCTTGAAGAGAGTTCTTGTATAAACTATATTTAATTGGTATTCTGTGATTGGCTAATCGTTCTCCAAGGTCGCTTGAAGGAGAAATTGAAGACTGTAGTGATGAAGGACGCCCCGACTCATTTGGAAAAGACCCCCCTGAGTGCAGTACGCAGGCGCAGGGAAAGCCACGCGTGTGCAGAAGAGATGCACTTACATAACCAAGGGGGTGTGACGGAGAGCCTCTGGCTGGGCGGTGCTGACCACTCCTGCCTAGGTTGAGGTCACTCAGTTAATTGTATAAAAGCAGATAGCTCTTTCTTGGAGAGGAGCAAGCTTCACATCAAGGACAACGTTGCCTTTTGGCGGGGACGCCTGCCAGTTTGTGAACTTACTGACTTTCCA